GACTGGGAAGGCTGTGCCACTGGGCCCTACAGGACACCTACTACATAAGACCACTCTAACAAGTCCAGAAGACATAGCAACTCTATCTAATACATAGAAACAAACACAGGGAAACAGCCAACATGTGGACACAACAAAAAACAGGTCTCAAGTGAAAGAACAGGAGAAATTTCCAAGAACTAAATGAAATGGAGGCAAGCAAACTGCTAGATACAGAGTTCAAAACAATGGTTATAAGGATGCTTGAGGAACTTACTGAGAACTTCAACGGCATGAAAAAAGACATAGAAACCATAAAAAATAACCAATCAGAAATGAAGGATATATTAATTGAAATGAAGAATAATTTACAGGAATCAGCAGTAGAGTAGATGAAGCTGAGAATAAAATCAGCAATTTGGGATATAAGGAAGCAAAAAACACACAACCAGAACAGCAAAAAGAAATCCCAAAGTATGAAGATACTGTAAGTGGTCTCTAGGACAACGTCAAGTGTGCCAACATTTGCATCACGGGGTTGCAGGAAAGAGAAGAGAGAAAAGCAAGAAATTGAAAATCTATTTGAAAAAATAATGACAGAAAAGTTCCTTCACCTGGTCAAGGAAAGAGACATACAAGCCCAGGAAGAGCAGAGAATCCCAAACAAGATAAACCCAAAGAGGGCCCCCACCAAGACACATCATAATTAAAATGCAAAAGGTTAAAGATAAAGAGAGAATCTTAAAAGCAGTAAGAGAAAAGCAGTTGGTTACCTACAAGGGAGCTCCCATAAGACTGTCTGCTGATAACTCAATAAAAATTTTGCAGGACAGAAGGGAGTGGCAAGGAATATGTAAAGTTATGAAAAGCAAGTACCTAAACCAAGATTACTCTACCCAGCAAAGCTATCATTTAGAGTTGAAGGACATACAAAGAGCTGCTCAGACAAGAAAAAGCTAAAGTAGTTCATCACCATAAAACCAGTATTACCTGAAATGTTAAAGGGTCTTCTTTAAGAAGAAAAAAAAGATAAAAAATATGAAGAATAAAATGGCAATATATACATATTTATTAACAACTGAATCTAAAAAACAAAATAAATAAAGCAGAACAGAAAGAGACTCATAGATATAGAGAACATTTTTTTTAAAAATATATTTTATTGATTTTAGAGAGGAAGGGAGAGGGAGAGAGAATAGAAACATCAATGATGAGAGAGAATCATTGATTGGCTGCCTCTTGCACGCCCCCTACTGGGGATCAAGCCCACAACCCAGGCATGTGCCCTTGGCCGGAATCGAACCTGAGACCCTTCAGTCTGCAGGCTAAGGCTTTATCCATTGAGCCAAATCAGCTAGGGCTATAGAGAACATTTTGATGGTTGCCAGATAGGAGAAGGGTTTGGGAGGAGGGTGAAAAAGGCGAAGGAATTAAGAAATACAAGTTGGTTGTCACAGAATAGTCATGGAGATGTAAAGTACAGTATAGGGAATAGAGTCAATAATATTCTAAAAAACGAAAAGAAAAAATAATATTCTAATAACTATTTCTTGTGTCAGATGGGTATGAGATTTATCAGGGTGATCACTTGGTAAGTTATATAATGTCTAACCACTGAAATGAATATAATATTGTATGTCAACTGTAATCAAAAAATAAAAATGATTAAAAAATATTAAATAAGTAAAAAAAGAAATAAAATGACATTAAGAAATCAATTCTCATATCTTAAGAAACCTGAAACACCAATCAGAAAAAGAATGTATGCACCCCTATGTTCATAGCAGTGCAATTTACAATAGCTAAAATCTGGAAACAGCCCAAGTGCACATCAGTAGATGAGTGGATAAAAAAGCTGTGGTACATTTACACCATGGAATACTATGCAGCAGTAAAAAAGAAGGATCTCTTACTCTTTGAAATAGCATGGAAGGACCTGGAGAGTATTATGCTAAGTGAACTCAGCCAGTCAGAGAAAGAGAAGTATCACATGATCTCACTCATATGTGGAATCTAATGAACAAAATAAACTGATGAACAAAATAGATCCAGAAACATAGAAGCATAGAACAGACTGTGGAATCTCAGAGGGAAGGCGAGGGAGTGTGGGTGGGTGGGAAGAACTTGTATGCATATGTGCATAACCCATGGTCACCAATAATAGGGTGGTGAAGGCCTGGGGTGTGGGGCGAGCTAGAAGGGGCCAATGGGGGAAAAGGGGGGACATATGTAATACTTTCAATAATAAAGATTTTTTTTTTTTAAAATCAATTCTTAGAAAAGAAGATTAGCTCTTAGCTCTTCAATCCATTGCCTACAATTCATTGTATTTTTTCTCACTTTTAAAAACTGGGTCTGGTTTCAAATATGAAAGTATAGCACATGGTCATGAAATAAATGCAAACAGTACAGAGGTTATGAAGTGCAAGTCTCCCTCCCCTTCCTGGTCCTAGTTATATATCTTTCCAGAAATAATTTTCTATGCAAAAAGTAGTGTGTGTGTGTGTGTGTGTATATATATATATATATACATATACACACACACACATACATATATATATGTACACACACATATATACATATCTTTAAAAAGTACACATTAATTCATTTATAATAGCATCAAAAAGAATAAAATGCTTAAACTACAAAATGTTGCTGCAAGAAATTAAAGACACCAATAAATGGAAAGACATCTTATGCTCATGGACTGGAAGACTTAATATTGTTAAGATGTCAATACTATCCAAACTGATCTACAGATTCAATGTAAAAAAAAATTTTAAAAAAATCCCAATTTACTTTTTGTGTGTGAAAACAAAAAAATGTGGAATCACAAGGGACCTAGAAGAGCCAAAATAATCTTGAAAAAGAACAAAGTTGGAGGTCTCACACTGCCCAATTTTAAAATTTAAGCTATAGTAATTAAAATGGTATGGTACTAACATAAAGACAGACACACAGACCAATGGAATAGAGAACCCAGAAATAAATCCCTTGCATATTATTTTCAATAAAAATGCCACTCAATGCAGAAAAGGGCAGTGCTGGGAAAACTAGATGTCCACGTGCAAAAACAAAGTTGGACGCTTAACATACATCATATACAAAAACTAACTCAAAATTGATCAAAGACCTAAAACTATAAAACTGTTAGAAAAAAATAGGGTAAAAACTTCATGACATTAGATTTGATAATGATTTCTTGGATATGACACCAAAAGCACAGGAAACAAAAGTAAAAACAGATATGGAGAAATCAGAACCTTATGTACTGTTGGTGGGAAGATAAAATAGCCACTATGGAAAATAGTATGGAGGTTCTTCAAAAAATTAAACTGAACTGCCATATAATCCAGAAATTCCATGTCCAGATATATATCCAAAAAGAACTGAAAGCCGGGTCTTAAGATATTTGTATATTCATGTTCACAGAAGCATTACTTACAACAGACAAGAGGCTGAAACAACTCAAATATTCATCAGCAGAGGAATGAAAAAATAAAATGTGGTGTATATATAGATGGACAGACACACACACACACAGAAAGCAGAATGATGGTTGCCAGGGGCAGGGTGAGCAGAGAATGGGCACAGCCTCAGTTGTGCAAAATGAGAAAGTTCTAGAGTCACAACAATGTGAACACACTTACACTGCTAACAGTACCTCAAAATGGTTAAGATGATCAACTCTGTATTTTATCACAATTAAAAATAAAAAAATTTAAGTGCAAGTTGAGTTTACACGATACTGTTATTCCCTCCTTTATATCCTATTTTTCATATATGCATTTTTCCTTTTTTTTTTAAAGTGCCTACTTACTAGTATAGACAAACTGTTATATAATTGTTGTCTACTGATGGGCAACTGGAATATATCAAGTTTTTTTCACTATTATCAACCTTTTGCAACACTCATTCTTGGATCTAGAAATTGTCCCACAACTGAATGAATATAAGCCACTGCCTAAAATTTAGTCAAAATTCTAGACTCTAGACACAAAAAGGAATATCCAGGCAAGGTAACACACAGTTATAACATCCAATTTAAGTTGCTGTCATTAATATTATCAAGGACCATAAAAGTCTCATAACCTTTGATTCAATGATTTTAATGAAAATGGTCAAAAGAAGAAAAGGCTAGACTTACCATATTATCTATAACACTGAAAACAACAAACAAGATCAAATGTCTACTAAGAGAAATACTATAAAGAAATCAAGCAATACCTGTATAGATATAAAATAGTGATTAGAAAGACTATGTAGCTATATAAAATGTTTATTATGTTCACAGTGAAAAACCCACTTACGTACACCTAACATTTTAAGTGAGCTGTAAGCAAGTGGCTCATGGGCCTAATGCATCCCAGAGAGATTTTTATTTGTTTTAGGTATGGCAAAATTTTTCCAATTTATTGCAGTCTACATCACTCTTTGTTTTACAATCAATGTTTCACCTATTCAGACACCTGCATTCTTGACCCCTGAATATAAATGAGAATTAAGGACTTCAAAGGAAAAAACAGATCTCCTGCAGGGTAATGTGCTGCTCAGTGCATTTTTCTTTTGAAAAATATAATGCTTCCACTTACTTATTAAGTTCTTATAACAGTTAATATATGTATAATAAAACTGACACACACATATACTACATGGTGATATTTTCCCCAAGACTGGCTTCCCATGCCAATCTGCAATTCAAGACTACATGGACACTAAAAATACAAAGGCACATAAGAACCATACTCCTGGGCAGATCTGTAACTAAGATGGTACAAGAAACAAAGATATATTTCTCTACACACCCCAGCTGCAGTTCATACTCCTTTATTTTTATTTTTATTTTATTTTTTTTTGCACAGGGAAAGGACCCTAGTTTATTGCTGAATCATTCTTAATAGCAGAAACAGCTAAGCAACTATAACACTGAGCAGCACGCAACTGCTAGTCACCCGGAATCACCATGAGCGCGAACAACGTTTCATACTCCTTTAAAAACACACACACCCAGCATCACTCACCTTGTGACTTGTTTGTGGAAATCTGTTAGTTGTTTGTGTGTCACTGTGACAGCTCCCACAGTTGTTTCTTTTGGCAAACCTTTCAAGGAATTCTCTAACCATCGACAAAAAGTCTGTACCAAGAAGAAGAATAAGAGTTTTTAAAGGAGGCAGGGCTTACTCAACTGGGACTGCATAGGTAATAACAAAAACCTGCATGTTTTCCTTAGTAGCATTAGTGCCCTGGGACTTGGAAGCAAGTAAAAGAATTAACAAAAGCACTATTTTCAGGTCATCCAACCCTCTGGGGGTTGGAATCAGATACAAAGACATGCCTAGACTTCCCTTCAAAGGGGTAGCAGACATCATTTCAGAAAGAGCCTTCTTCCTTGAGAGGGAAATCTCTCCTGGATGAGGCTATTGTTCTGTTCCTGTCATTAAACTCATACAGTATTTTAAAAATTAAATATCTGCCAAAAAACTCTTGAGTCTAAAGATCAAAGGCAAAGGTTCAGGTATCAGAAAGGGTAGGGACAAAAAGTATAGTTAGTAAACATGTCAAAGTATAAATGTAATATAAATTCAGAAATTTCAGGATTTTAAGGTCATCTCTCTCAGAAGTCATGTCAATAAGGTCCTTTGTGATACCCTCTCTTCCTTGGGTTAGAAAGTTCTTTTGTTGTTCACTCTAGTTGCTATTTAGAAAAATTTATTTATACCCAAACAAGGTATCTTTGTACCTTTCATATGCACTAAAACTGCTTATCCTCAGCCCCCTTGCTTCCTTCCTTCTTCAAACTAAAAATCAAAATTCTAGAGACTTCCTCTGGATTCTTATTTTCAGTCAAATTGTTCTTCTTTGAGTTAGTTCTAATTTTTCTTCACATTTTTCTTAAGTAGAATGTATACTTTGGTTATAGTTTCCAGCTAATTTTTTTACATTATATGTTTTCCCATTATGTTAATTTATGATAACAGAGCAGAGAAAAGTAAATATTACGCTACAAATGCTTAAAAAGTACTGCATGGCGCACTCTCCCTCCTGGGAGCATGCCATCCCTTTCCCCTCGCCCTCTTCTTCCCCCAGGTGCATTACCTTTCCTTTTCCCTCTCCTAAGCTCCAAGGGTCCTTCTTTAGCCTCTATAACTTGTTTCCTGAGCCTATTTCTTCCACGACTCACTTCTACCTGTGTGACTTTCTAAATAAACTTTCTCTTATAGTTTGAATCTTGGCTTTGAATTCTTTCTTAGCCAGAACTCAAGTACCAAAGTTGCTGAACTGAGGTCTGGTCTGACTCCACCAGTTTTAACACCTGGTGTTGTTTTCATTGTTGCCAACAGTATTATCATCAATGAGGATTGTGATGAGGCCCTTAGAATCTATACCATTGAACTGGATTATATGGGAAACAAGTGCAGTAAACTCTCATGTACAGGAAATTCAAAACTATTTGTAGGAAGCTTGTAACCATACTCACATCAACTAGAATCAAGACTAAAAACAAAAAAGTTTAATAATCTTCCTCGGACCATTGTTGGCCTCTTGACCCCTGCTGGTGTCCAGATGTCTGTGGTTATCAATCACCTCTTGCCTCTCCCATTTATCCTTCACTTGACATAAAAGAAGCCTGAATTCTGTACTTTCTTAAGATGGATTTTAGACACCTTCCCCATCAATAAACCTTTCCTTACTCCAAAAGAATACTGCATAATTTCTCAAATGTTGCCCTCAAGGAAGAAAACACTCTACTCAAACAAAAAAAGTCCTAGCTGGTTTTGCTCAGTGGATAGAGTGTCAGCCTGCAGACTAAAGGGTCCCAGGTTTGATTCCAATCAAGGGCATATGTCTGCGTTGTGGGCTTGATTCCCAGTAGGGGGCATACAGGAGGCAGCAGATCAGTGATTCTCACTTATCATTGACTAGAGGTCCGGTGCATGAATTTGTGCATGGGTGGGGTCCCTCGGCCTGGCAGGCGATTGGGACTGCAGGAGGTTGGCCAGCGATCAAGGCCAATTGCGGGGGAGGGACTGAAAGAGGTTGGCCAGCCATGGGAGGTTGGCTGTGGGAGCACACTGACCACCAGGGGGCAGCTCCTGCACTAAGTGCCTGCCCCCTGGTGGTCAGTGCGTCATCATTGTGACTGGTCGTTCAGTTGACAGATCATAATGGTTGCTTAGGCTTTTATATATATCGATGTTTCTATCTCTTTCTCCCTTCCTCTCTGAAATCAATAAAAAGTATATTTAAAAAAAACCAACACACACACACAAAAAGCAGGGACAACAAATTCAGGAAATCCTTAATTGACAAAGTTTTGGTATTTAAAAAATCACTCAAGAGTTAACAAAACAAAAACAGTAAGAAACTAAACTAAAAAAAGCAAAGACTAATTAGCTAGCATATAATGAGCCTTGTCATCTTCCAGTAAAGCAATCTGAGAAATTAGGTTGAAAATACTGAATAAGCCCAACTGGCATGGCTCAGTGGTTGAGCATCGACCAATGAACCAGGAGGTCATGATTTGATTCCCAGTCAGGGCACATGCCCAGGTTGTGGGCTTGATCCCCAGTGTGGGGTGTGCAGGAGGCAGCAGATCGATGATTCTCTCTCATCACTGATGTTTCTCTCTCTCCCTTTCTCTCTGAAATCAATAAAAACATATTTTAAAAAAGAAAATACTGAATAAATTTGTCACAGGTGGATATCCAAGAAAGAAAGGGCTTTAGAAGTTCACTCAAGTCAAGAGACAAAGTTGGCATGTCATCTTCTATTAAAAAGGTATTGAACTTTGAAAATGGTATGATTAAGAAAGTCCTCAAGAATGTAAATGTTCTCTGGACTTAAATACTTAGTTACAACTTCAATCAGTTTACTTATAGGGTATAGACAACCCAAATTTATGTAAGAGTTCCTTTACAAAAACTCAGCTGTAGTTGATATTTACAGAAAACAATCACTTTAAATTGCTTCATTAGCTCATGGGTTTATAGCAGTGATGGCGAACCTATGACACACGTGTCAGAGGTGACAAGCGAACTCATTTTTTTTGGTTGATTTTTCTTTGTTAAATGGCATTTAAATATATAAAATAAATATCAAAAGTATAAGTCTTTGTTTTACTATGGTTGCAAATACCAAAAAATTTCTATATGTGACACGGCACCAGAGTTAAGTTAGGGTTTTTCAAAATGCTGACACGCCGAGCTCAAAAGGTTCGCCATCACTGGTCTATAGTAAACTCTTAAAGAGCACATGGTTACATGGTTTGTATTCCTGTCCAAACTTGCTGTTCTCATTTTCTTCTTCTGTTAGCATTTAACTATATGTTTACAAATCAAGAATGTTTTTGTAAAATCAAATTTATATAATAAGTCTTTTGTTACTTGGAAACCAAGTGTATTTGTAAAAAAGTGAGAAAGTATGGACATTTTATTTCTTATGTCAAGGACTTTTGGAATTAAAGTTGTTGGTCTCTAGGCACACAGAGTACTTTCTTCAGGAAAACACAAAAATACTACTGTATTAGATTGAAACAGAACATATGTATTGAACACCCAGCAATGGGAACTGCTGGTACTATTCATTCCTAAAACACTTGAACTTACATGGAAGCACTGAAGGATTATTTGATAAATAATCATGCAGGAGCCTCAGAGTTTGATATAAGAATTAAAGTTAATGTGGCTGTTTCTGAAGTATAAATCTAAAGAAAATGTTGGAAATCTATTAAGCACCTGCTCTCCATGTGAATGTTTTTTGTTTGAACCTAAGATCAAGTAAAGCATATGCCCACTAAGACAATATACACTAATCACTGAATTTTGGAGATGCACACCAGACCAGGTAGAACTTCTGACTCAGTCATATTAGAGTCTTACAGTAAAAGTGCATTCTCTTTTGTGAAAATGCTGAAATTGAGGCTAAGAACTGCCATTGATAACATAAAGCAAAAGACAATGTTAAGATACACATGTACTTCAAAGTTGTAAGTATCTGGATCTTTCTCTTCTGGTAGACAGCTCACTTTAACTAGGTCCAACTGCTTTTATATTAAATATCAAAAATTATAAATCCTATTTAAAAAAATAAATTACAGGCTATGATATACTTTGTCACTATGTTCAGAATTTTCATGCAGCATACATAACCTGATTTATGACTATGTGGACTAGTACTGAAATTTCTTGGGCATTACTGGATAGCCTAAAAAAAATTTCCATGCTCAGGTGATAAAAAACTTGCTTGAAGAAGTAAAGCAGGAAGCAAATAAATCCAATAAGGAAGCAAATCAAGTATATATTGTAGACTAGTTTTACAACATATCTATATGCCTCCAAATGCTCTGACTCAATTTATTACCAGGGAACCATACAGTGCTACCTAAGGAGCTTGGAGTTAATTAACACTTCCTAAATCACCTGTAACAATATACAAGTGATATATGGGCATTTCCCACAAATGAACACATTTCTCCCTGATGGCCACAGAGCTGAATCCAAAACTTAGTATTCACTTAGGGTACACTTAGTATTCACTTAATTTATAAGCCATACAACAGTGACAAAAATATGCTTTCAATAACCCAGTGATGAATCAATGGCCTCATATGACCCCCTTCGTCTAACAATTAAACTTAGCAATATGCCTAAATTAGGTTCCATGAATGTTCAACAGGGCTGCTTTCAAAGGTATAGTTGGCTGCAAGGAACCAAAGTTTAGGCCTGGGAGAAATGGGTACCTAATGAAAATAATCTTACCGGTCTGTCAACCTGCATGATCTCCCAGAGCACTTCGGCCACATCTGGTAAGGTGTAGGGAGGGAGACAAAAGCAGCATGTGTGGAGCAGCTGGCTTACTAGTTGCTGTCCAAGCTGGTTCATCACCTGTCCAATCAATTCTTTCCGTAATTCAAAGTCCTCTTCGTGCTATAAAGAAAACAGGAGCAATGGATAAGTTCTAATTTCAACTTCCCACAGACCAAGTACTCTTTCCCCTTTAATCTAACACAGCATTATCAATGGGTATGCTGCAAGAATTTTTACAACATGAAAAATCTAACTATTCAGTCAGGGGCCCAGACCTCTTTTTGTAAAAAAAAAAAAAAAAAAAAAAAAAAGACAACAGTCAACAGAATAGCCACCCAGTGGGAATCAACCAAAAATCATACCTTTTTTTAATTTGTCAGATCCGGCAAAAAAAAAATTTAATATATTTTTTGATGTGCTGCAGAATGTTAGTAATTAGTTTATTGTGTGCCATGAGATGAAAAAGGTCAAAAATTGCTGGTCTAGCAATTTCTCTTTCCCAGGAAAGAAGGTATACATATTATATAGCAGGAGGATTCACAAAGCCCACCAAATGTTTCATCATGAAGAAAACATTGAGTTTAGTATCAAAGAAATGGGCATGGGTTTTAGCTAAGATTAACCCTTAGATTTTTCATGAAAAGAGGGCAGAAGAGACACAATGGTTAAAGATTAAGGGTAGCAATTTTCTTAATCTTTTTTTTTCTGTGAAAAATAATAAAGTATTCTTATTTCCTTTTTGAAAACCAACTCAGACGATTCCAAAATGGCGATGGAGTAAGTGGAAGCTACACTGACACTTTCCGAGGACCAAACTGGAAATACAATTAAAATACAGAAAACCCATCCTGAAAAATCAATTGAAGACTAGCTGGAGAGACCCCTGATAACCAAGGATGGAAAGTGGAGACCGAATAGAGACTGGTGGGAAGTGGGGAGGAGCGAAAGGGCTGGCCGGGACCCTACGGACACCAGCTGAAGTTCTGAGAGATATCTCAGTTGTTGGGGGTTCCCACTGAGAACTCTGAGGTCTAAACCCCAAGCTGGGCTCTCCAGCCCAGAACAACAGAACTGATAAAGGTACCCACATATCAACTATATGTGAAAAGCAGCAGGGTTCTGTCTGACAGTGAGATGACTGGAAATGCAGGAACCCTCTTAAAGGGCCAACACACAAACCTTAGTGTACAACCACTCACCTTGGGCAGAGGAAGGGTAGAGTAGACTGGAACTGTGTGAGCAGAAGCCAGGATTGGGGGCTTTGAGGTTGGAGATCAGGGAGCAGCCCCCCTGGTTTCCTGTGCTGAGTCATTCCCTCATGCTGAGGAGGAAATCTTTCTCCTGTGGACCTTTGCTATCCAGTAGTTTTTGCCTGGGGGGAAGGCAGTTGCCCCACCCTGTTGGAAGACCTATAGGCCCATACTGTGGTCAATAGCCTGAGGCTAATCAAGTCTGAGTGTCAATGGGAATGCAGGCAGAGGCGGGTCTCTGGAGGCTTTGAGACTTTGATCTAATCCCAGGCCTGGGGCTAGGAAAAGCAGAACCTGGTGCACATCTTGGTCCTTTCCAAAAGTACCCAGCCCCAGCAGGGGTAGCTACAAACTGGGGATTGCTGATAGCTCCAAACCGGGTACTCAGGGCCAGTCACAAACAGTGTCTGACATTGTCCTACACTAGAGATTAGGAGTTGTAGTAGATCTACCTAATACACAGACACAAACCCCTCAGGCAGCCAAAATGAGGAGACAAAAAAATAAGCTCCAAATGAGAGAACGATAGAATTCTCTGGAAGAACTAAATGAAATAGAGATAAGAAATTTATGAGACACAGAGTTCAGAATAATGATAGTAAAGATGCTTAACACTTGGAGTGCGGGAAACGAGTTAAGTCGGCTCGCGTGAATTGCGCGTACTCCGCGGGAGCCATCTTTAACTCGGTTCATATAGATTTGCGGTGGAGTGCGGGAAACGTGTAAACTCGGGCCGATTGTAACTGCGTATTACCAAATATTTGTTTGTAATCCACCCTTTTGGTGGATGGAACAAAACCAAAAGACAGAGCCATCTTATATTTTGGCGGGAAATTCACCCGCACTCCAAGTGTTAACAGCATGAGAAAAGATATAACAACTATGAAGAATGACATAGCACTAATAAAGAACACACTGGAAGGAATACACAGCAGATTAGGTGAAGCCAAGGGCTGGATCAGTGAATTAGAGACAGGGTAGAAAAAAAATCACTCAATCAGAGGACCAAAAAGAAAAACCAATGAAAAAACAGGACGACAGTTTAAGGGAGCTATGGAACAATAAGAAATGTAATAATATTCGCATAATAGGAGCGCCAGAAGGGGAAGAAAGTGAGCAGGGGATAGAGAACGTGTTTGAAAAAATAATGGTAGAAAAGTTCCCTAACCAGGTTAAAGGAAAAGTCACATAAGTTCGGGGGGCACAGAGAGTCTCAATCTCAAGCAAGAAGAACCCAAACAGGCCCAAGCCCAGACACATCATAATTAAAATGCCAAAAATTAAAGATGGAATCTTAAAGGCAGCAAGAGAAAAGCAAACTGTTACCTACAAAGGAACTCCCATAGGGCTGACACCTGATTTCTCATCAGAAACTCTACAGGCCAGAAGGGAATGGTATAAATTACTCAAGGTAATGGAAAACAAGGATCTGAAACCAGATTACTATATCCAGCAAGGCTATCATTCAAAATAGACAGTGAAATCAAGAGCTTCCCAGACAAAAAAAGAAAAAAAAAAGAAAAGGCTAAAGAAGTACATCACCACCAAGACAGATATGCCTAAGGAAATGAGGAAGCAATATTAGAAGATAATGAGCTGCAAAGTAGAAAAGTTACAATGATTATACTTACATCATTGGCTACCCCTGTATGAATGAGATCTCGTAGGAACCTCATGACACTACAGTTGGCATCCCGGTGGTCCAGGGTAGTAGAGGCAATGGCCCACTGTAAGATAGGGATGACCACCTGGCTCCTCAGCAAGGTAACAGGGCTACGCTGAATAAACCTGGTGTGGAAAGACATGCTGGGTATAAATGACAGGAAAAGGCTATAAAAGCAGCCAGGGTAAAAGACAAAACTATGGAGAGAAAGTAAAAAGATCAGTGGTTGCTTGGTTTGAAGAGGAGGAAGGGACATATAGGTGGAGCACAGGGGATTTTTAGGGTAGTAAAACTGTTCTGTACAATACTATAATGATGGATACATGTCATTATACATGGTGGGGGTGGGGGAAGCAGGAAGTATATAGAAACTCTATTACTTTCCATTCAATTTTCCACAAGGTTTCTTAGACCCTTTAATGTAATGGAGAATCTCCAAGAAAAACACAATGTTTTTCTAGTTCCTTTCACCAGGCAACCATTTGCACAAAGAATATCTCTAGGAATTAGTTTTTCAAGGAATATGTCCTGGGAAAACGGAGGTTGACAACCCACCCATATAAACTGGGGGGAAAAAAACCCACACACATTTTTCTAACTTGTCCAAAAACTAACATCTACATTTAATAATGGTTTATTTTTTTTTAAAAGCTTTCTGTTCACTAACTGGTTTGATTAAAATTCCTTAGTGAGGGACTAAGAAGGAACTCAAAGATTTGACAATAACATCAGTGTTACTGGTAAAAGGAATTTAAGCACTAGATGAGGTGGCAGGCTAGGGGCAGAGCTAGGAAGTGTAACACCAGGTAACTTCTAAGCACCTTAAAATCCTAAGAATTTTTTTCTGAAATATAATTATATTTACTCAAGGAAAAATTTGAGGTGAAGCCTGATATCGTAGCAGCATACAAAGTTAAAACCTCAAGGGATTTTAGAGATTATCTAGTCAAATGTTTTTACCAAGCACAATTTTACTGTCCTGCATGTGTTTCCTCCTTCATGACAGGAACTTAGCCACTTTCCCCTACTCCCATCCAATTCCTTTTCCTCACTTATGGGGACAATCTGGCTCAAAATATAACTTTGGGTTATGAATGATTAATCTACCTACTTCACTTAACTCATTTCACAGAGAAGGACTCAGTCAAGTGTTAGGTGACAAGTCTAAGCAGTGATGGGAATGAACAATAAAAGAAAGGGTTGCTCTTTGGAAGAACTGACCTGGTGGCTAGCCTGAACAGGTCATCCACGGTGTCAGGGTGATTTTGCAGCCCATTTTGCTGTTCTAGGAGCTGAAAGGTGGGGATGCACAGTGCCTAAAACAGAAGTGATTTTAAATCAAATACTTGTATATAAATGCCACAGCATTCAGACTTGCTAAATATCACAACACATACAAAAGGAATAAAGAGGGGAAAAGCACAAAAGACTGTGACAAAAATAAGATCAAGAAAAGGAAGATGGAAATCTCTCTCAGTTAACATAAACAGTTTTCACAAATGAAAGCCACATTTCAGAAAGGATTGGTGGTATAGATTTAAGTTGATGAAGGTGGATAGATGTCATTTCAAAGCTTTAGAAGTTTCTGAAATTAAAGACTGCTTATGTGCTAAACATGGTCAGTCTGCTAAGGGAGTAGATGAAGTTTTAATAGTAGTAGATGAAGTTTTAAAGGGAAAGATATCTTGAGGAAAAGGAGTATCATAATTTAACTCCCTAATATATTCCCACCCATCCTCCATCCCCATGACTAGAGGGGGTGGGGGGCAGTATATCAGAAACCTTTTCCAACGTCTGCTATTTACCCTAAGACCATCCCTGCTGAGTAAACTTGTTCACTGGCTGTTCCAGGGAAGAATTTAAATCCAGTTGCCCACCTCCCCACTCCCCCAAAAAACCCTATCTCTGGAGTGCATAATTAGGCAGTAATGATCATTACATTTGTGTAGTCAATCTTTCTTTCTCCCAAGCAGGCCTGTCCAGAGAACTAGGAAGTTTCTATCTCCCTGTTATTAGGAAATCAACATGCCTGGGGTGGAAACATAAAGAAGCAACAGAATTAAAGACATGGTAAAGAACACACTGCTAGGCCTTTAGACCATCAAAGAACCAATACATCTATATTCCCCAAAGAAAACATACCTGAAGCATGTCTAGTAATCCTTGCCGACAGCCTTCTTCCATGCCATACTCATCCACAAGGATACTGCCAAGGTACAGGAAACAGGAATGCTGATGTACATGGTACACATTCACCATCTGCCAAGGGTAAAACCAATTAATTAAACCTCTTATTGAGGTTGATACCCCTCAATAAGTATCAACTTAGAAAGCTGTTTGGAGGAAGACATTTACAGAGAGACTAGTCTCTTCTCTTTCACACAACATAGGAAAGCATGTTGCATAATACTTCAAGCTGAAAGACATTAAAGAACTATTTTATCCAAAGCTTGTATAATGTTTATAAAACCATAGCATAGCATACTCAAATTTTCTAATATCTAATAGTTGCTCCTATATGCATTAAAAAACACTTAAAAAAATTAGTAGAGCTGTAGCAGGGACAAATATACCAAACTAGAGTAGAGGCACGGTGCACGAAATTCGTACACTGGGGGGGGGGGGGGGGGGGCCCCCAGGGGAGTCCCTCAGCCCAGCCTGCACCCTCTTGCAGTCCGGGAGCCCTCGGGGGATATCCAACTGACAGCTTATCGCTGCTGCGGAGGCGGGAGAGGCTCCCGCCACCACCACTGCACTGGCCACCACCACTGCACTGGCCAGCCGTGAGCCTAGCTTTTGGCTGAGTGGCACTCCCCCTGTGGGAGTGCACTGACCACCAGGGGGCAGCTCCTGCATTGAGCATCTGCCCCCTGGTGGTCAGTGCACATCATAGCAACTGGTCATTCTGCAGTTTGGTTGATTTGCATATTTGCCTTTTATTACATAGGATGCCCTCATCTTGGAGGCTGTGAAAGCATTATTTCAATTTTGAGTTTCTCCTAAACTCCTTTATTTCATCTTCTAAGTAAAAAACAGTATTTACAATTAAGGTATCTGTCTCAAAAGAATAGAAATTCAATATAATACACACATTTAAATTAAATGATTTGTTTAGGATTTTTACCCTACTATTCTCCAAAAATCAAGAGGCATCTATTTATACATTCATCTATTGGAAATGCCACCACAACACCCATGCATTGATCTTATATAAATTCTATTTTATAAAAGTAGTGGGGGCTGAAGGATAAGGATAGAGTAACTGACTCTTATCAGCATATACCATGGAATGAGCATGAGATGAGAACTATGAATCTGTTTAGTGCTGTGTACTCAAAAAATATATGCTCTACTTAATGAATAATGATTTAAGTCAGGGGTTGGCAAATTGTCTTAAAAGGCCAGATAGTAAATAATTTAGGCTTTGCCAGTCATACAATCTTCTGACTATCAACTTTGCCACTGTAGCACAAAAATGGCCAATAAATAATACTTAAATGAATAAGCATGGCAATCACTCAGTAAAACTTCATTTACAAACTACAGGACCATCAGCTCTAGTTTACTTACCTCTTGTTTATGGGACTTTTAAGAATAATTTTCATTTCTATCACATGTACTGACTTTAGAACACACTTCCTATGTAAGGTCCTGCCCTACTCTATTGGTTGGTCACATACTTAATTAACAGGAATAAAAAAAAACCAGTATCAAAGTCATGAGATATCCTCCAACAGCAAAGGGACTTTAAAATCAAGTTATATTAGACTTAGAAAGTATTACACCAACTGGGACCCTTAACCAGAGGTGGACACAGCCTAAATGCAAACATATACTGCTGTACTTATAGAGTATAGAAAATCACTAATATTAAAATTCTATTAAAATATGTACCTGTACAAACTTTAATCAAATCTACAATTTAAGGAGGTGAGTTCATGCAAGTGTTAACTGACACTGCACTAGCATGACCCTAGCTGAGGGTGCTTCCTTAAGAGTGAAGTACCAGGGTGCAGAATTTAAGGTGACACTCACTGTCAGGGTCAGCTCCTGAGAGTGTTGTCGCCTTAAAATCTGCACTGTCTGTACCCTGTCCAGGTGGAGGAGAGTCGTTTTAGGTTGGGTGGGTTGTCTAGCAGTTTTCTTCACAGCACGAGTGCAAAATTTAAGAACTCTTGCTTAAGAGTCCTACAAATGCAGGATTGGCACTGGCCTGGCCTCCCTCAATTTTGTGCACATAGCACCTCACTTGCCTCAACCTAGTTCTGGCCCTGCTATGCGGTTAACATCAACACAAATTACTTAGTGAACTAAGTCACTAGTCACAGGTATCTCTGAACTAAGCCGCTAGTCATAGATGTCTCATAGAGAGTAGTTCTAGGTATAATCTTAGAGAGCTTCATGTAGTGAGTCATACCATCTTAATAACATATCAATCTTGGTCATTAAGAGTCAAATTTATACCTTGACAAATAAGAAACTTATGTGAACTATGTTCAATATAGTTAAAAATCCCTTTGGGCCAAGAAATAGCAAAGTTTGACTTACCACATTTAAAAAAAGGAAATTAATGTAAAAATATTTAGCACTGGTATACAAGAGCTGAACATTAAAGTCCTTCTCTTTTCCTAATTTCACACTGGAATGTATTGCTAATTAGACTTCACTATACAGATAAGATTACAGACAACATACCTACCACAGGCACTACTTAACCTCTTTCAAAGAATTTTTTTTCATATTTAATTAATACAAAAGTGTTTCATCACCAGAGTTTTCGTTCCAAAGGCTCCTATTTCAAACTCTGTACAGTTTACATTTTCCCTCTCGAAGGGAACTTACCTGTGTGACTAGTGGCTGCAGAAGGGCTGCAGATCCTTTGCCTACACAGCGAACAGCAAATCGAAGGCATCTGCAACAACGCTCTACAATCCGATTATCAGCCCGATGCTTATTTAAAGTCTCAGATAAAACTGGCCATATCTGAGTCAAAAGTGAAAAAGCACAAGAAAGAAAGAGCTGAAAAAAAAAAATGCTTTCAAGTTGGTAACATTATATTTGGCTTTCAAATAATTTGGAAAGAGCTTCCATTATAAGAAAAACACATGGCCTGATTTTGACCAGTGTGTGTGTGTGTGTGTGTGTGTGTGTGTGTGTGTGTGTGTGTGTATACATGTGTGGAGATTCAACATACTATTCATCACTAAAACACAACTGCTTCTTAAGAGAAGCACAATGACTCTTCAGAACAGGAAGGGGAGCATGTCTAACTTTACTAGAGGACAAAGATATGCATTTTCCTAAACTTTGAACTTCCTAATTTAGGGTGGAAAGAATTAGTACAAGTTACAGAAGAAGAAATGTTTAAAGGCAGTTCCAAGAAGTTGGAAGACCCTAAACAAAAGGACTAGAGTAAAGGAAATAGCATTATTTGATACTGTTGAACACTTAAGAACATTTGGTGTACCCACTGTCCTGTAGTCTGAAAAACAAGCACTTCTCCCATCCAGGCCCAACCCTGCTTAGCTTCCGAGATCAGATGAGACTGGGCGTATTCAGGGTGGTATGGCCATAGACCTTAAAGCACTTTTCAAAACATACCTTTGATCCTCACATTAACCTCAGTGAAAAAAGCATAAGGGAAGTATGTTATCAATAGGAAAGCTAAAGCAATGAAGGCTTAATTGGCTTTGTCAAAAAAAAAAAAAAATGTTGCTAGTATTAATCAGGCCTCCTAACAACTCTAGGATTCACACAATCTCTCCCACTTCTTTGGCCTTTCAATGAATTTTCCCATAGCCTGTTTTTTTTTAAAAATCTAAAATCAAAATTATTTATTTGTATGGTTCCATTCCTCTTTTCATTGGTATTTAATCTGTATCAGCAAATTAAAACTTCCTATGAACCTAGAAGAAAGTACCTTCTCACTCTAGTTACCCACAGCATTGCAAGGAAAAAGGAAGAAAGTCTTGTACCACAGACATTTGTTAACACTTACTTCTTGAATGACTTTTTGGCACGGATGAGTCTGTCCATTTTCCACAATGGGATTGGTGTGTCTGCAGAAAGACAAATGGCCCAAATTAGTGAAAGAAGAACAATTTCACCAAGGACCCAGAGCCCTGTCCCTGGTTAGTGTACTTAGTATCATCTCACAAAAACAACAAGAACAACAACAAAAAAAACAGATAGCAAACTTATTTCTAGGACTCAAAACCATTTCCTCTATTGCAGCGGTTCTCAACCTGTGGGTCGCGACCCCTTTGGGGGTCGAACGACCCTTTCACAGGGGTTGCCTAAGACCATCGGAAAACACATATATAATTACATATTGTTTTTGTGATTAATCACTATGCTTTAATTATGTTCAATTTGTAATAATGAAAATACATCCTGCATATCAGATATTTACATTACGATGCATAACAGTAGCAAAATTACAGTTATGAAGTAGCAACGAAAATAATTTTATGATTGGGGGTCACCACAACATGAGGAACTGTATTAAAGGGTCACAGCATTAGTAAGGTTGAGAACCACTGCTCTATTGCATTCAAACAAATACAAGCAAATAGTCTTAAATTATCCTATTATTTATTGCCACCTTTAAGCGACTTCCACTAGATTCACAGTGGTTATCAACCTTCTGGCCCTTACAATGCCTATTTTAACTTATTCCATATAGGCTTTTATGCAACTATTACTCTACTATTCCAGTTATACCTATGGGCCTCACATATAAATTATGAAACTCAGTAAGCATCACTCTTTGAACATTGTCACTCAAATAGTTTTTTAATCATTAGGCTCCTCTTGACTTCAAAGAAGGATTAATTTCACCAGGTTACTAGAGAGGCTTTATTACTGTTTTGTACCCATAGTTTCACAATGCGCCTAAAAGTATGTATGTGTGGTCCTTGGAATAGCAAGCAGCAGCAGCACCTGGGAACTTATTAAATACTAGCGGCCTGGTGCATGACATTTGTGCACTTGCGGGGTAGGGATGGGGTCCTTCAGCCCAGCCTGTGCCCATTTGCAGTCCAGGAGCCCTCGGGGGATGTTCGACTGACGGCTTAGGCCCACTCCCTACAGGGAGCGTGCCTAAGCTGCAGTCAGACATCCTTAGTGCTGCCGCGGACCGCTGCTGCACTCGCCAGCTGTTAGCCCAGCTTTTGGCTGAGTGGCACTCCCCTTCTGGGACCACACTGACCACCAGGGGGCAGCTCCTGCATTGAGCATCTGCCCCCTGGTGGTCAGTGTGCATCATAGCGACTGGTGGTTCTGCCATTGTGTCCATTTGCATATTACCCTTTTATTATATAGGATTATTATATAGGATGTAAATTCTTAGGTTCTATCCAAGACCCAATCAATCAGACAATCAGGGATGGAACCCAGCCATCTGTGTTTTGATAAGTCCTACAGGTGACTCTGAAGCATGCTAAAGTTTGAGAATCACTTATCTAGAGACCAGAATTAATTACATTTTAAAGGGTCTTTTGACACCCTTTCCCTCCCCGGACCATGTCACATGACCCATGGACCCAGAGTGAGCAGACTGGGGAAGGTCAGGTGGGAAGGGCAGACTATGAGTCTCCCCAAGGGACATGCGACCCTGTCTTCCCTGCCTGGGACTCGGGAACCCTATCCTGTGGAGAAAATCCACAGAGGTTCCCAGTTTCTCCCAGGCCATTGCCCACAGTGGCCTTTCAGGTGGACTCTCGAGTGGGACCCCACCAACCCTGAGACCCATGACTTCAGCACCCATGACTGTGCATCACAATGAGGCCTGCCATCACCCAAGGTCACTGCAAGTTGGAAGCCTCGGTCCTCCTTGCCCTGCTCTGCGAGTGCTGACGTCACCAGCTCCTGGGTGCTGAGCTCCATTTTAGGAATTTTGCTTCTAACTGATTTGGGTGCACTTATCTTAGTGGCTCAGAAGGAAATGAAGTTTTTTTCCTCCATGAAGTCTTTGATTCCTTAGGGATAATGAAACTATAGCTGAGGGGGTAACAACCTAATTTTACATAGTGCTTTCTACCTTTCATATCATATTTCTCTGATGTAAAATTATCTAACATAGTGGGTGGGAGTGCAGGATAGGTACAAGTTCTATTGTGGGCATTTTCATAAAATCACCAAAATTATGAAGGTAGATATCCTTTAACTGTGATTTTTATGAAATATCCTTTGTAGATACTCTTGCACATATACAATGATGTGTGTGAGGTTTGTAGATTAAGTTGAAACAACCTAATGTCCATCAGTAGGGGATTGGTTCAATAAAGTACATCCATCCATACAGTTTTTAAAAAGAGTCTTTTGACAAAGGTCCACCAAGAACAAGTTCTTAGAATTTGCCTTTGCCCAAGACTTCAGGCAATGATCTTAATTAAGTATCCTGACAAAGGAGATTATAGGGAAACAAAACAACCACTTGCTTACTTCAATACACAAGGGTCTCATTTGTGCTTTTAACCCAAGACAAACATCTAGAATCTCTCTTCTTACCTAAATATTACTGCAAGACGATCTAAGAACACAGTGGGATCTGAGGATATACCATTGCTGGGCTCCTGAGACAACAGCTGAAGAGACAGACATTAACAGTCATTACACATACAAACCTACAGCAAACACTGCAACATACAGCCTTACACATCAACCTCTGTCTCAATCTCTGTCTATTTCTGTAAAGTTACTCAGATGGTGCAAACTTTTAATTCATATTGTCAAATTACTTTCTTCCATCTCACTGCATCCTGGCCAAGACTATATATTACTAACATTTTAATATATAATCATTGTGGAGTGGAAAACATAATTTAATTTTTTCCATTTACTTGTATTATGATTGAGACATTATAGAAATTATATATTATATATAGTTTATATATGATTATTATGTATTATGTAATCTATATTATATTCACATTCCACTTTAGCTTTATATTTTTTTTGTTTTTTTTTCTTTCTTTTTTTATTTTTAGCTTTATATTTTAAGAGATAAGGCAAGTTGTCCCTTATTCTTCTTTCCTAAAATTTCCACCATTATATCATTAGGGGTGAACTTCAGAATCATTTTGTCATGTTCTCCTAAAAATCCTATCAGTATGCTCACTGTTACTGCACTATACTAGTACATGTAATTTGAGAAGAACTGCCATCTTTACATATTCTTCAAGGAAACTTGGTAGGTTATGGTTTTGATTGCTAACTTGAATAGTATTTTTCCCATTACATCTTCTAAATCAGTGATTTCCAAAGTGGGTGCTACCGCCCCCTGGTAGGCGCTGCAGCAATCCAGGGGGGCGGTGATGGCCACAGGTACATTTGGGGGCGATGAGTAACTGCTATTAAAATTTAAAAAAAATTAATTTCCAGGGGCTGAGTAATATTTTTTCTGGAAAGGGGGCGGTAGGCCAAATAAGTTTGGGAACCACTGTTCTAAATGGTATTACTGACATTAGTGAAAATCTATTGATTTTTAAGTACTTCTTCTGTGCATGCAGCTACTCAATAGACTTATTAATTTTAAAAACTTTTCAGTTCATTAAAAAAAAGAAAAAAAAATTTTTCAGTTCATTCTTTTGGCTTTCCTACATAGATAAAAGATCACATGTAAATAAATAATTTTGACTTTTCCTTTCTAACATGTAAATATGTTAATTTGTTTCATACCCCCTTACTTAACCGAACTCACCTTTTTCAATGCCATAACCTGAACAGAACATAGTTCACTAAGACATTCAGTAATCTTCTCCAACGGTAATCTGGCTAGAACAAGTGCTGTCCCTGAGAGACAAAGGAAGATACAGATGAAGAAAATAAAAATTGAATTGAGGTTATTCATTGGTCTAAAGCATGTGGTTAACAGAAAAGCCTGACTGGTCCCATTCTTTCAAAAAGATCAGCACTGTTTTTATAAATTGCAATAGCTTATTACTGATGGTCAGTTTTTCTTAATAGCAGCCTATTGGTTTAAAAATGTTTAAATTTATCTCCCCTTCCAATTCCTTAAAGACTTAAAATCTCCTCCACAAAACCAATACCAAAGCTGTTTTTTTTAAAAATATTTTTTTATTGATTTCAGAGAAAGGAAGAGGGAGAGAGAGGAACATCAATGATGAGAGAAAATCATTGATCAGTTGCCTCCTGCATGCCCCTTACTGGAGATCAAGTCAGCAACCCAGGAACGTGCCCTGACCAGGAATCGAACCCTGACCTCCTGGTTCTTGGGTCAACACTCAACCACTGAGCAACACTGGTAGGATCCAAAGCTATTTTTATATAGCACAGTACAATAGCTCTCAAACTTCCCAGAGACTCTGACTTAGTAGGTCATAGAAAACCTTTGTTTCCGATAAGTACCGTAGGCAATTTTTATCATCAGAGAAATTGAAGAAATATAAACATAATATATTTTTTACAAGAATGGGCTGAAATGAGAGATTTAATTCTTTTCTACCATAACAGAATCTATGAACAGGGTTAAAGCATTCTTGCTGGGCATCAATTTCTTTATCTATAAAATGAGTGGTTTGAACAGAATAGTAGTAGTTAAGCCTGCCTCTTTTGTTGTTTTTAAATAGTTGCAAAAGCCCCTTTCCTTACTTTTTCCCCAAATGAAATCTTAACTTGGAGCTCTAATAAGATAGATTTGAAAAGAAAAAAAAGGAGGTAGTTAGGTTAAAGTGGAGACTTGGCCTCCCTCTTTTCACAATGCCCATCAACTGCGGAAGCATCACCCCCCAAACTCAAAGGATGATGTGTTAGACAAATTCCTTGACTATCTCTCATCTTCTAAAATTTCCTTCAACAAAACAGTAATCCTATCTAATAAAAGAGAAACATGGTAATTAGCCATACCTCCGCTACCCTTCCCATTGACTAATCAGGGCAATATGCAAATTAACTGCCAGCCAAGATGGCAGCCGGCAGCCAGGCAGCTTGAAGCAAACATGAGGCTTGCTTGCTTCAGTGACGGAGGAAGCCAATGTTCCCCGCCTGCTTTGCCGGCCTCTGAGCTTGCAGTTTGAAACATTGGTACAAATATAGAAGCTAAATAAAACCCCAGAAACCTGCTTTCAGCCAGCCGGGATCTCAGAGCTGGAGTTGAAACAGTGTTTCGATTATAGAACCCAAACAAACCAGATACCTGCTCTCAGCAGCTGAGGCCTCAGAACTGGAGCCAAGCCTCAGAGCTAAAGCTGACCCAGAATTAAAAAAAAAAGAAAAAAAGGAGCGGTTGGGAGCTTCAGTCACCCGCCAGCCTGAAAACAGCCCTCAGCCCCTCACCCAGACTGGCCAGGCACCCCAGTGGGGACCCCCACCCTGAAGGGGGTGTGACCAGCTGCAAACAGCCATCAGCCCCTCACCCAGACTGGCCAGGCACCCAAGCGGGACCCCCACCCTGATCCAGGACACCCTTCAGGGCAAACCAGCCTGCGGCTCTGTGTGTTACAGGGGGCGGGGCCACAACCTCCCTATCCGCCCTGCTCTGTTCGTGACAGGGGAAGGTGCCCCAACCCCCTGATCAACCCTCCTCTGTGTCTGATAGGGGGAAGCTCCCCAACCCCCTGATCGCCCTGCGGCTCTGTGTGTGACAGGGTGCGGTGCCCCAACCCCCTGATCCGCCCTGCTCTGTGTGTGACAGGGGGCGGTGCCCCAGCTTCCCTATCGGCCCTACTCTGTGAGTGACAGAGGGGAGCTCCTCAACCCCCTGATGGGCCCTGCTCTGTGAGTGACGGGGCAGCGCCCCAACCCCCTGATCGGCCCTGCTCTGTGCATGACAGGGGGTGGCGCCGCAACCTCCCCATCGACCCTGCCTTGAGTGTGACAGGGGGCGGTGCCCCAACCCCCCAATCGGCCCTACCCTGAGCGTGACTGAGGGTGGCATCGCAACCTCCCGATCCGCCCTGCTCTGTGCATGACGGGGTGACGCCCCAACTCCCCAATCAGCCCTGCTCTGAGCCCGACCAGGGGCTGCACCTAGGGATTGGGCCTGCCCTCTGCCACCTGGGAGCAGGCCTAAGCCAGAAGGTCGTTATCTCCCGAGGGGTCCCAGACTGTGAGAGGGCACAGGCCGGGCTGAGGGACGCCCCCCCCTTTCCCCCTGAGTGCACAAATTTTTGTGCACCGGGCCTCTAGTCCTATATAATAAAAGCCTAATATGCTAAGTGTCTGGTTATCTAGTCGTCTGTTCAACTAATCAAAGTGTAATATGCTAATGATGTGCTAAGGCCACTCAACTGCTCGCTATGACGTGCACTGACCATCAGGGGGCAGATGCTATGACCAGTAGGTTAGCTTGCTGCTGGGGTCCAGCCAATCGGGACTGAGCTAGATGGGCTGGACACGCCCTGGAGCCCTCCTGCGGTCCCTCCCCACCTGGCCAACCTCCTGTGTCCCTCCCTGGCCCCAATTGTGCACCAGTGGGGTCCCTCACCCTGGCCTGCACCCTCTCACAATCCAGGACCCCTCAGGGGATGTCGACGAGCCGGTTTGGGCCTGATCCCAAGGGACCCCACTGGTGCATGAATTCGTGCACTGGGCCTCTAGTCAATCCATAAATCTTCAAATGCGAATAAAAAACGGAATGACTCTTCCTAACAGGCTATTAGCCATGGATGTATAAACTTTTGTTTAAAATCAGATTTTAGGTGAAAATCTAACTTAAATATAATTGTTTCTTTTAATTCATTCCTACAGAACAGAGTGTAACTGAAAACAGTTTTCTATGTCTAGACAAGAATACCACTGAAAACTGGGATACCACATTCTATTATAGGTCAGATGTCACTTCAGCATAAAGGTTAAATCTTTCTAGAAAATGACAAGATGGCAACAATAACCACAGTAGTAGTTATGAAGAATATATGACTCTGATTTAATATCTTATTATCTATGCCTATAAAGGGAAACAACAAAAACTCATGCTACAAAATCTGTCCTTAAAACAACACAGGTATATTGGCTGGTAAGGAACCTAGTCATAGAGGTGAAAGGACAGAGCTAGCTCACACATAAGGTCATCCAATATTGCCAGGCTGTTTGCCGCTCACATTGGCTTAAAAAATGCTGTACAGTTCCTATTACCCAATTTTGTATTTGATATACTCCCATACCTTCTCAACTACCAGTTGTAAGGATTTCACTACCTCACAGTCATTTGTTTTCAGAAAGTTTAGTTAGAAAGCATTTTCTTTCTAAGAGTCAATAAACTGTCAACAGTTGATCACTCATAGAATAAATGTTCGTGCTTTCATAACAATCTTTCATATTTAAAAACAGCCATCATGTTTAAAGTCTCTTCTAAGTCTTTTCTTCCCTAGCAATAATATCTCTAGTTCTATTACTCTGAGCTTCATCATCACTCTGGCTGTTTGCCTCCAGATAGGCAATCACTCAGTGTAAGCTGATCAGTAATGGTTAAAGAACATTAAGGGACCAGGACCCTTCTTGGCCTTTTGTAGACATATGTATGTACACATAATAAACACCCTTCCCCCATCACTAAGTAAACTGGCACTGAAAAGCTAGGATATGACTATGAACGATAACCCCCAGAAGTGGCTTAGAGGAAACTGCTCCTAGTTAATATTGTAAGTAAATACCTTTCAACAAGCCCACAGCAGCTTCTGGAGACAACATGAAGGAATCGAGGGAACGGGCAATCTCCAGGAGTCCATTAAAGTGCTGAGCCATGTGGTCCCGGCAGACAGAACAAATGTTATGAATGGCTTTGGCTGCAGCAGAAGCCAGAGGCTTTTCACACAGGCCTTTCATCAAATAGCCCAATACAGGGTCTAAGGAAAAAAGCCATACAGTGAAGTTTACATATTTAAAACTCAAGGAAAATGTCTTGTTTACTATAATAGATGTTTACATTCTCTTTCTTTTTAAAGCAAAAGAACCATTTTTAAAAATGAAATGTGTTCAAACCCCAATATATAAAACATAAAAATGGAGCTGATCTCACTGACACAGTGTCTGGAAGCCCTGAGTCTTAGTCATCTTCCCATCTCTTTCCTCATGGACAATTAATTGCTTCTTGTTGCTAGTGCTTCACAGAGCACAGTTTGAAAACCACTGGTGGATATGACCATCCAAGTATCTATATATATAGAAGCCTAAGCAACTGGCCAACTGGTGAACTAGTAGCTATGATGTGCACTGACCACCAAGGGGTAGACGCTCAATGCAGGAGCGGAAACCACAGGCATGGAAACATGGAACAGACTGATGAATCGCAGAGGGAGTGGGGAAAGGAAGAGGGCAGGAAGAGATTAACCAAAGATCTTATATGTGCACCAGTGGGGTCCCTCAGCCTGGCCTGTGCCCTCTCACAATCTGGGACCCCTTGGGAGATGTCAGAGAGCTGGTTTCAGCCCGGTCCCCACAGGCCAGGCCGAGAGACCCCACCGGTGCACGAATCTGTGCACCAGGCCTCTAGTTAAGAATATAAGAAAGAATGTAAAGCTCAGAGAGCTACCATTATACTCACAGGTAAATCACTTTGTAAAAATAGCCGACATTAATAAGAACAATGATAGTTATCTAAAACTGACACTTTTATACTCGCTTCTTTATAGTTATAAAGGGCCTTAAAACATGCAGATGGATCTTTAGCACTTCTGGAAGAATTAATTCATCATGTTCCATTTTTTACAAAATATAAGTGTTCCAAGAAAATGGATTATAAAGGTGAATTTCTATAAAGCAAATCAACTAAGCAATAACTCATAAAATATTTACATTCAGTGCCTAGAAACATTCTACCTAGCAATATGAGAAAGCAATAAAACAAGAGCAAACACAAGAGAAAGGAAGAATATCAGAAAAATCAGATGCAGCAGCAGCTGAGGGGAGAATTCACACATACCAAGGAAATGAGGATTTCGATCAACCACTTCGCTCATCTCTCCAACCAATTCAATGCTGGTGTATCGCACAGCTGTATGTACAGTCTCTGGGAGACGGACAACTCCTTCTAGGACCTCCACAAGCGTTGGATTGTTCTCCCTGAGTACAGAAAGCAAGCACTCAGAGTTACTGATTTCAGAGATTGGGTTTTGGCCAAGAAACAGGCTGCAATGATACAAATCATTGCTAAATAATTTCTAAATAATTAATCATTTGGATAAAAGTACTTAACACCTGAGATGAAAGGTTTTTAAATCCTAAAAAAGGCGGGGGGGGGGGGCGGGGGGAGAGAAAGAAATGGAAGATATAACTGTTTCAGAAGAAGCACACTGCTCCTTAATCTTTTGAATGCCAGTGTCTAAAGACACATTCTGCTACCAAATAAGGCTCTTCAAACTAGAGAGGCAGGCATTTACTATGGATGCATGTCTTCATTTAAAGAATCTGTTTTATTTATTCCTATATCTGCAGCACCTAGAACAGTGCCTGGCACATAGTGGGCACTCAATAAATACTGCTGAATGGCTAAGTAAATGAATGAATATTTCTTGCAGACTACTTTTTATTAATTGTTATTCTCCAAAAGATTTCTTATAGCTGGATACTAGAAACTTTAAGAACAGTTAAGCATGAGTAGGCCTGTTCACTAACTAAAGGAACAAGAAGAATACAAGCTGAAGAAACATAATTACAGGCCAATATCCCTGATGAACACAGATGCTAAAACTCTCAACAAAATATTAGCAAATCAGATCCAGCAATATTTTAACAAGATCATACACCATGACCAAGGGGGGTTTATTCCAGGGATGCAAGGCTGGTACAATATTCGCTAATCAATAAACGTGATATATCACATAAACAAACAAACAAACAAACAAAAAGAACACAAGCTGCAGGAACAGATAAAGGAAAATAAAGTTAACTAAGTACTTTCCACAACTCCATGGATTTATTTTTTCCTTTATCTTATCTTTTTTCCCCACTCCCCAATGCTAGCTGAAGTTATTTAAGCAGAGTGAGAATGCCTCCAAAGTGGCAGAACATAATCCAGAAATAAAAGATGTTTAAAATGTAAATAATATTATGAATTTGAGCAAGAGCACTCCCTGCTGATAGTAAGTCCTTTATATACACTAAAAAATTACACTCATGCAGATGGCTTGAGATGTGGATAAATAAAAGCCAAATAAAATCTTATCTCATTTATGCTTTATGTTTCCCAGGGACACTAAGGTAATTACTGATACTCTTACCTTTTTTCACACCAACACGTGTCAGTTAAAATATTAGTGATTTTTAATAATCTTCAGGCTGTCACTGAAGGTTGCAAAAGACACCAAAATAGGTTTAAGAGCAAATAGAATAGAATGTAATTCAGGACCAGAACCTCTTAATAGAGAAAAACAAACCTATATTGTGTCCTTGAATATTTACTGAATTAGAAACAACATAAGATTTAGCTGACTAGGCCCTGCAAGGCAAATAAGAAAGAAGCACTGTACTTTTTACAAATACATGCCTTAACCATCTCTCCAATCAAGGCCCTGGATAGAGAACTCAAC